TCAATCAGTCCCTTGTATTTATCAAGCACAAAGTGTTAGCTGTTGCACTAAGCATTTATTATCTCATTTAGTCCTCGAAACACCCTCATAAGGTAGCCAGCATTAAAATCCCCATTCCGCAGATGAGAAAACTGAAGTTCAGAGGCCCACGGCTCCAGGCTCAGTGCTCTGCCCACTTGGCTGGGACTGACCCCGCCAACCCGGGAGGGTGTTTCTCGTGCTGTTCCTCCCACTCCCAGCAGACTTTGGCAAGGGGGGCTGGGGTGGTTGTCCGAATTTGTTGGGATTAGAAAGGAGAGGTCTCCCTCTGGGCTGGGGTTTTGATTCCCCAGCCCTGAGGGAAGGAAAGATCCCCCCCCCCCCCCCCCCACCACCATATCTGAGATCTGGAAAATTCTCCAAGCCTCCCTCACCTTCTTTCCCAGCTGAGATCCCATGGGTTCCCAGTCCAGGGTAGCCAAGAATGGTCCCTTCTGCACCCAGGCCCCTTGCTGCCCTGCCATAAGGCAGAGAGGACTCTGGGGACTTTCAGAGGCTGTTTTGGCGGCTTCTGGAAATGGAGAGAGAAACCCTGCCACCTCCAGTCAGACAAAGAGGACCTGAAAAGGAGTACCCTGTGGTCAGGGCTCAGCCTGGTGCCACGACAGGGGGATGTCCCTGAAGGCCACCCAGTCAGTGAGGCCCAACCTCAGGCCACCCCCTCTGGCCACAGCCTGGTCCCATGGAGCCCTGACTTCCCCTCATGACTTCCTGCACAGCCTGGCCGACCCCCCTCACATGGCTGGGGAAGGCCCTGGTCACCTGCGGCCTGTGGCTGACTTCGCCTGTCCTACTCCCTGCGGGCAGAGCCCCGATGACGGACTGCTCTGTCACCCATTTGCTCTGGGCAACAGCCCCCAGAGCAGCAAGGCTTTAACCCTGTAGACTCCACACTTAATGGCTCCCCCCCGCCCCTGGAGAAGGTGCACACAAGGAAGCTGAACACAGAGGGCAGGGCACTGTGCCCCGTCCACATGGCACTGGTCTTGACGAGACGGGGTGGGGGACGTGAAGAGCTGGGGACAGCTGACCTGTCTTACCAGTTAGGACCCTGTTCTCAGGTCGGCCCACGTGCAGCCTTCTGTACCTGCCCACTGGTGCTGTCACCCTTTCCACGGGATGAGTAGGTGACGCACCCAAGGACATGGGTGAGGAAGCCGCCAGACCGTGGCAAGGGTCTGAACCCCGATCTCTGACTCGGGGTGCCCAGTAGAAACTTTTTATTGCACCAAAATGCTGTAAATCTTCGACATCAGAACGCTACATTCAAACAGCACATGGGGAAGTAATTCTGGAAAATCCAACGTTTTGTTGTTTTCCGGGCCACGTGCAGGCCACTTCCGTGAGGACAGAGCAGCAGCAGAGCGGCCACTCCACCCCTCCAGGGATAGCCACCCTCCCAGATGGCAGCTGGGGGAGCTTCTGTTCTTTGGGACGTTGGACGGGTCCCTTGAGAGGCCAGCTAGAGTTCGCTTCTCCACACACTCCCCATCTGCATCCCGGGGATGGAGGTGGACAGGTGTAGGAAGTTTCCAGGATGGAGATGTCACGGTGTCCCCAGCCGCTCCCCACATCCCCTCCCAGGAGGCCAGACCCCCCGTGATCTGCCCGAGACACAGGACAACATAACGTACTAAAAACTAGTCAGTTACAGTTCACCTGCCAGGGCCAACCCCCGGGTCACCCTTTGGGTCCCAGGGCTGTGTGGGTCTGTCTCCCAAGTCCCAGGGGCTCATTGATTCACTCACCCACCACTTACCTACTGAACACCAACCACATGCCGTATGCTGTTTTAGGACAGAGCTGAGGACGAGTCTGGGCCCAGTTCCCGCCCCCCAACATCTCACTGTTCGGTGGAAGCGGCTACGGCAGGAGAGCCGAGGTGGGTCTCGGACTCGGGGGGGCCTTGGCCAGTTCTGTGGGATTGGGGGAGGCCTCCGACGAGCAGACACGGGAGCTGAGGCTTGCGTAGTTCGGCGGTAGGAAGAGAATTCTGGGCAGAAGGAGCTGCGTGGATCCAGACCCGGAGGCCGGGGGCAGCGGCACGTTTAAGACCCAGAAGAGAAGCTGCAGCAGGGCTGGAGCGGAAGGGAGGAGAGGTGGTGGGCACCACGGCTGCTTCGCACTTTACAGCGTTGGCTGCTTTCGGTCCCAGCTCCTGCACGGGGGCCCCGTGGGGGCAGGACGCTGCTGTCACTGCTGTCAGGTTCACTGCAGGGCCCCGGACACGGTGATGGCACACGGCAGGAGCTCGGTGCACACACGAGCACACACGAGTGAGTGAATGACCTGTGCGGGGTCCACGAGTCTTTGCTGTGATACAGGCAACAGAGGTCAGTCCCTCTGGTTTTTTTGTTTTTTTTTTTTAAGTTTATTTAAGTAACCTCTACAGTCAAGGTGGGGCTCGAACTCACAACCCCAAGATCAAGCGTCGCATGCTCCATCGACTGAGCCAGCCAGGAGCCCCTGTTCTTACTTTTTTTAAAATGTTTATTTTTGAGAGAGAGAGACAGCATGAGCGGGGGAGGGGTGGAGAGAGAGAGAGAGAGGGAGACACAGAATCCGAAGCGGGCTCCAGGCTCCGAGCTGTCAGCACAGAGCCCGACGTGGGGCTTGAACCCGCGGACTGGACTGCGAGATCATGACTTGAGCTGAAGTAGGACACTTAATTGACTGAGCCACCCAGGTGCTCCTTCTTTTTTTTAAATAATTTTTTTAGGGGCACCTGGGTGGCTCAGTCAGTTGAGCGACCGACTTCAGCTCAGGTCACGATCTCACAGTTTGGGAGTTCGAGCCCCGCATCGGGCTCTGTGCTGACAGCTCAGAGCCAGGAGCCTGCTTCCGATTCTGTGCCTCCCTCTCTCTCTGCCCCTCCCCTGCTCGTGCTCTGTCTCCGTCTTTCAAAAAAAAATGAAATAAAACGTAAAAAAGGAAAAAAAAAAGAATGCTGTTAATTTGCAGGAGTGGGGAGACACATGTGAGACATACCAGTGTCTGTGGCAACCACGGGGCTCCTTCGGTGCCATGAAATTAGAGCATCCTTCTCATCACCTTCACGATGTGGGTAGAAAACCAGGCGAGAGGAAAACGCCAAATGCGGAACACAGGTTAGCCACCACTCTTGAGAAAGTAGGGGGAAAAATTCCAATGAAGACAAAAAGAACGACCTCAGCTCTCGTGAAGCTGTTACATTCTAGCAGGGGAGAGGGGCACGCAGCAAGGAATCTCACGATCAGGAATTCAGTAACACACGAGGCCCGAGATGGACGGGTGCAGGGAGGTGAGGCGCGTGACCGGTGGGGTCCATCTGACGGGCTCGCCAGCTGAGATGTGGAAGACTGGGTAGGAGCCTAGGGGTGAAGGTACGGGACAAGGAGAGATCCGGGCAACCCCAGGGAAGGGGAGGGAAGGACCCTGAAGGACTGGCAGCGGCTGGTGGGTAGCTGGGAGGGCAGGACGGCGGCGGGTGGGGGCTGCAGGCTGAGTGAAGCAGGCCACGGAGACACGGAGCTCTGTCCAGGGGTCTCTGCCTGTCACCTTCACTCTTGGGGCCCCTTAGGGTTGAAGACAGGCCTCGTCCCCAAACTGGAGCAGTCACACCGACAGTTTGGGAGAGGCGGCGAGGGCAGGATAGGATCCTGGGGCCAAGCCCTCCTCGACCTCCCTGAAATGTTGACAGGCTGACCAGCAGCAAAGATCAGGTTAAGGCTGCTGTCTTCCCAGCCCAGGCGACTGTTCCCAACGGCCCCAAGGAAGCCACTGAGACAGCTGGGGGTGTGCAGAACCCAGGAGTCAGCACATAGACAGCCCGGAGGCCTTAGGCTTAAGACTTTGAAGATGCTAACTCTTTCACATTTTAACGTCTCCGGAATTAGCATTATCTCACAGCCCGGGTGAGTGTCAGAGGTTAGCACCATTTTTCCCGGTACACAAAATAAGGGTGAGTCTGACCGTCTACAGTGTCACGCTGCCAGGAGACCATGGGTGTCGTGTCTCGCACACAGAAGCAACGAAAGCCAACAGGTGAAAGCCACGTCTCCAAAAGAACTGTCCTTCCAGAGAAACCACTTACCCTGAGGACTTAAGTGGACCCAGTGATGCAGTCTGGACTTTTATGGGAAACATTTCTGTCTTGTTTAAACTTGCTATTCGGGGTCAGCTGAACTTAGGAGTTGATCTCAGCTGTAAATTTTTCGTTTTTGTTGGGCAGAAGGTACCCAGGTTCTCTTCTCCCTCTGACCAAAGAATTTCTAACAAAACCACGGACTCCCACAGGCTCTTTGACTTAAAATTATGTTAAACATCAGAAAAAGCAAACAACCGGATCTAAAAATGAGCAGAGGACCTGAACGCACACTTCTCCCAAGAAGATGTACGGGTGGCTGATAAGCACAAACAAAAACGCTCCACGTTTGCAACCATCAGGGAAAAACACAAAACAGAACCACAGTGAGGTACCACTTCACGCCCGTTAGGATGGCTGTTACAAAACATGCAGAAAGTAGGGCGGGCGCCTGGGTGGCTCAGTCGGCGAGCGTCCAACTCTTGATTTCCACTCAGTTCACGATCTCACAGTTGATGAGTTCGGGCCCCGCATCGGACTCCGCGTTGACAGCACGGAGCCTGCTTGAGATTCGCACTCTCTCTCTGACCCTCTCCTGCTCACCTGGCTCTCTCAAAAATAAACATTTTTTTTTTTTAAGAAAGGGCAGAAAAGAAGGGTTGGCGAGGATGTGGAGAAACTGGAACCCACAGAGGCCAGACACTGAGAGCTGGGGATTCATCAGTTACTGCGGCAGAACCTCCCTCACCCTGATTAACACGTGTGTTGTGAGCCACACGGCGGGGGGGGAGAACCAGGCTTTCCCGGCGTCACAGCCATGACGGCTTCCTGTGGAAGCCACAGGAGACCACAACCCTAGTTCCAGCCCTCAAAGTGGAGAAACCTCAGAAAAACCACGTGCCTCCTTGGGGCTTCAGTTCCCCTTTTATTTCATGTTCATCTTACAAAACCAGGAATTTTATATCGTTCAACCTATGGGGGGAAGACAGACACTGGCTGTTAATCCACGAGGTGGGGGGGGATATCTGTACTCACTGCCAGCCCTGCCTGGCTCTCGGCTTCCCCAACTGTCCCTGCGGCAGCTCTGGGTCCCCTGTGGCTTCTCGGGCTGGGCTGGGGAGAGCAGTCGAGGAGCCACTGGCCCAGGGACTTTAAGAGAAGCCCTCTGTCAACGGACCCCAGCTTCAGAGACCAGGAAGGGGAGAACTCACTCATGGTCCACAGCTTCAGCCTCATCCACGGGAGACAGTCTGGGGCCCAGAGCGCCTCCTTCCCACTCGGGAGGCCATCTACCCAGAGTTGGAAGCTGCACAGAGAACCAAACTCAGGGCACTGGATCCCCTCGGCCCAGTACAGGTTGTCAGACGTGTCTTTCCCCAGGCAAGGGAACAGGCTGCCGCCAGAGCACCTCCTGGGCACTGAGGGCATCAGCAGGGCAGACCCAGCACATGTGGGAAATCTGGTGCTGCAGACGGCACTGAGCTTTATTTACAAACATGTCACCCCATCCTCTTTCACCCGCGCCCCCCAACCCTGGAGTCCCCACCTCTGTCTCCAGGAAGGAGAAGGGCCTGAGCCCATCCACCTGCCCAACCCAAGAGGGTGGGGACTACGTTCACCTCCAGCTGAAGCCAGGCAGGGCTCCCCTCTGGTGGGTGCCCTGCCAGAGGAGAGGGGTTAGGGGGGATGGCAGGGGCTCTGTCCTCCTCCGGGTGGCCAGTCCTCAGGGCTTCGGCCAAGGCACGCGAGGCTGGAGTTGTGACCGGGATGGGGTGGAGGGTGGGACTCGTGTTGGCTGGGCCTGGATGGTGAACAGGGAGGGGTCAGAGGGGACCTCTGAAATTGTGGAAGTCGCCCCCAATTCCCACGTCATCCTTCCTGGGGAGGGTGGGGTAGTTGGCAAGGAGAAGAGCCTGGAAGGGTGCTGTGGGCTGGGCTCCTGCAGAGAGAAGCTTCCAGGCTCTGCACTCCCTGCCCCAATCCACCCCACCCCTCTAGGGACTCTGCAGACCCCAGGCCTACTCCTAGGCATCTGTCCCTCCTGGGGTACCCTGGACCATACCAGGCGGGCAGCTGACAGCTTCCGGTGCTGGGCCTCGGAGGAGACACAGGACCAAAGGTCCAGGCTCTTGGGGGCTGAGCTTTTCTCGGGCTTCGGAGGGAGAATGTCCCAGCCCATCAGGCAGTGCTGTGGAGAGCAACGGATTAAGGCACCTGGTCTGTGGCAGGGCTCTCCTCTGATGGGGCGCACCCCGGGGAGGGGCTGTGCCTCTCCCCTGGGACTGCCTGTATCCTGGGTTACCCCAGGCGTCCCTTTCCTTACCCCGCCGACCCAGGCCCTGGGCCCCTGGCCTGAGACGGGAGGAGGGAAGGCTGTGGATACTGACAGAGCACTTCCTGTATGCTGGGCTCCGCCCCACGCCTGAGGGGGACTGAATCCCTGAACTACCCACCCGGGGGGGGGGGGGGGGGCCGGTGTGAGGACTCATGCATTCATTTTACAGGCGAGCAGGCTAACTTTCTTCGGCATCCTTTCTCCTCTCCCCGGTCTCAGCTCCCCCAGCCTCAACCGGCAGAGAAGGGATCTCCACTGACCCCCACCCTTACCCAGGAGACATAATGTTTCTAGGAGAGGCTCTATGGAAACATTAAGGACCTGGGTTCAAATCCCAGCTCTTCCACCTGCGGACCGGAGGCCAGTGCCCTCCCTCTGCCTTGTCTCATCTGGACAGCGGGACGCTTATCCTGGAAGCCACATCGTGGGTGGGGAACAGTCAACAAGCATAATACAGGTGATGGAAATGGCCCAGCCTGAGCTCCAGGGATCTGGGCACCCACCCTCCTTGTGCCCAGCCTCTCTGTGGGCCCTGGGACAGTCTGTGGCCCTCTCTGGGCCTCAAGATCCACCAGGGAACCTGGGCCCCGCGCTCAGCTCCACCCAGGCCCCACTCGGCTGCTCACCCGGGGCAGGGCCAGCGTGTCAGAAGCATCGAAGCTCTTCCGTCGGTGGACGCGGTGCCGGTGCGGAGGGTCCAGGACAGACAGCGGGATGCTCACCCTGGGGGCAGGGGCAGTGGACAGAGAAGGCGTTGCTTTGGGCGCCTCCGGGCCGCTCTGGGACCCCAGCCCCGGACTCGGCCTTCCCTCCCTCAAGACCGGTGGGCCTCAGGCTGGGCTCCTCTCCTCGGTCGCTGCCGCCTCCGTGGCTGCCCCCGGGTGTCCTACCTGCTCTAGCCACTCACCTGACCTGCGCGGGCTCCACCAGGGTCTCGGGGCCCCGCTGGTCCCGAGGTGTCCTGCACAGGCGGCAGGGGGAGCCAGGATCCGAAGGCACCAGAAACAGGCGCCGGTTGACGCGGTAACAGTACACGCCTGCGGGGCCGTGAGAAGCGGCAGCTCCCTTCAGCCGGGGGCCCGGATCCCTGGACCCCCTTCCTACCCCAACCACATGGGCCTGCCAACGCCACCCCCCCCGCCGGCAGCCGCATTCACAGGCGCACGCAGGTGTACACGTACGGAACACTAACACGCACCTGAGCTCACGTGACAAAACACGGAGGACACACACTCGCACGCGTGCGCACACACCCATCAATGTGACACGTGCAAACCCAAAGCACGGCTCTGTACGGTCACATTCACGGACACACGTGCACGTGCCTAAACTGGCAAGCACACACGGCGTGCACGCACACACGTGTTCACACGAACGGCCCTTCCTTACGCGTGAGGCACGCACGTGAATGCACCACGTGCTGCAGACACAAACCCAAAGCAAAGACTCAGGACTCTGTGACTGAGCCAGCACCTCTCCCCCACCCCACCCCCGGAGCGCCGACTGGAGGAAGTGGGGGGCACACAGGAAAGGAGGCAGCTGGCAAGAGGTAAGGTGACAAACGGCCGGCCCTGATCTCCACAAGTCCGGGCCTCAGTGCACCCTCACCATCCCCCCAGGGCCTGCCCCACCCTGTCTAGACCCAAGGCTTCCCTCCCCGAGTCCCCGCCACCCCAGCTGCCTCCCTAGGCCCCCGAGACCTCGGCCAGGCTGCCGAGAATTTACACTCACATTCGTGGTCTTGGTCCACCCTGCTGCTCTCCCGGAGGCTGAGGGACCGGGGTCTGTGAAGTGACAGGGGTGAGCAGGCCAGGCGACGGGGTCCCTGAGCCGCCCTGCCCACCCCCTCGGCCAGCCCTGCTCACTCGGGGTCACTGTGAATACACTCCTCCTTGTTGGCTTCCCGGAAATCCTGCAGCTTCAAGAAGAAGGCCTCGGGCTTGCTGGTGATGGGTGAGGTGTTGTCCAGAGACCCTGGAGTGGGCAAAGCACCGGGGAGCTGCTGTGTGGCCACTGGCAGAGCCTTAAGGGGTGCTCGGCACAGCACTCCAGTCTACCTGCTTTGCCCCCCACTCTGCCTCATGCAGACCTGGAGGGGGCCCTCTGCTCACCGTGACTGCTGGCTTTGTCTGTGCAAGCATCCAGGCAAAAAATATTTACAGAGCCCCTCCTAGGGGCCAGACACTGGTTGTTTTTTTTTTTTTTTTAAGTTTATTTATTTGTTTTCAAAGAGAGAGAGAGCGTGCAGGAGGAGCAGAGAGAGAGAGGGAGAGGGAGAGAATCCCAAGCAAGCCCCACACGGTCAGTGCAGAGCCCGACACGGGGCTCAAACTCACAAACCCTGAGATCATGACCTGAGCCGAAACCAAGAGTTGGATACTTAAAAGACGAAGCCACCCAGGCGCCCCATGCCCTCATGAGCCTCACAGATATGGTGGCAAAAGGGGCACCTGGGTGGCTCAGTCGGTTAAGTGTCCGACTTCAGCTCAGGTCATGTCACGGTTCGTGAGTTTGAGCCCCGCGTCAAGCTTTGTGCTGACAGCTCAGAGCCTGAAGCCTGCTTCAGTTTCTGTGTTTCCTTGTCTCTCTCTGCCTGTCCCCTGCTGGTGCTCTGTCTCTCTCTCTCTCAAAAATAAACATTAAAAAAAAACAAAACAAAACATGGTGGCAAGAAACTAGTCACCAAAGAAACCTGTGACACGAAACCGAATAGTGACGCCCGCCAGGAAGTAGAGCAGAGTCAGGCACGCAGGCAACACAGAGCTCACGGATGACAGGACGGTGTCGGCAGGTGTCGGGGACTGAAGCCCAACCAAGAAAAAGCAAGGGAGGGAAACCAGAGACGGCGAGTCTAGAGAGCCCTTTCGAGGAGTTCTGTTATAAAGAAAAGCAGAGATGGGAATGCAAGCTGGTGCAGCCACTCTGGAAAACAGCATGGAGGTTCCTCAAAAAACTAAAAAGAGAACTACCCTACGACCCAGCAACCGCACTACTAGGCATTTATCCATGGGACACGGGTGTGCTGTTTCGAAGGGACACATGCATCCCAATGTTTACAGCAGCACTATCAACAATAGCCAAAGTATGGAAAGAGCCTAAATGTCTATCGACGGATGAATGGATAAAGAAGATGTGGTGTGTGTGTGTGTGTATACACATACACAATGGAGTATTACTCGGCAATCAAAAAGAATGAAATCTTGCATTTGCAACTAACTATGTGGATGGAACTGGAGGCTATTATGCTAAGTGAAATTAGTCAGTCAGAGAAAGACAAAAATCATATGACTTCACTCATATGAGGACTTTGCGAGACAAAACAGATGAACATAAGGGAAGGGAAACAAAAATAATATTAAAACAGGGAGGGGGACAGACTCTTAAATATGGAGAACAAACAGAAGGTTAAGGGGAAGGGCTGTGGGAGGGGGGATGGGCTAAATGGGTTAAGGGGCACTAAGGAATCTACTCCTGAAATCATTGTTGCACCATATCCTAACTAATTTGGGTGTAAATTTTAAAAAATAAAAAATAAAATTAAGAAAAAAACCAAAAACCAAAAAACGAGAGAAAGAAAGAAAGAAAGAAAGAAAGAAAGAGAGAGAGAGAGAGAGAGAGAGAAAGAAAGAAAGAAAGAAAGAAAGAAAGAAAGAAAGAAATTAAGAAAAGCAGAGAAAACAGGCAGTGACCAGAAGCAAACATAAGATAAAGAGAGAAATGTTTCGGGGCACCTGGGTGGCTCGGTCGGTTGGGTGTCCAACTTCAGCTCAGGTCATGATCTCACAGTCCGTAAGTTCGAGCCCCGCGTTGGGCTCTGTGCTGACAGCTCAGAGCCTGGAGCCTGCTTCAGATTCTGTGTCTCCCTCTCTCTGCCCCTTCCCCGCTCATGCTCTGTCTCTCTCTGTCTCTCAAAAATGAATAAACATTAAAAAATAAAAAATTAAAAAAAAAAAAGAGAAACGTTTCAGCGGAATAGAAAATAGCACATTGCAGCTTTACCCCTGAGCAGAGGGAAGACTTTGCTAAGTGGCTCAGCCCTCGTGGCTCGGCCTTGTCATCCGTCAACGGGGACAACAGCAGCACTCAGCTGACAGGGTCACCGTGAAAAGCAAAGGAGAGAACAGGAGTAAAGCCGAGAGAAGAACAACGCACATAATGAGCACCAGGTAAAACCACCGCTCATCACTCCTGTGGGCTGTTCATATGCTGCTGGGACCGAGTGAGGAGGAGAGAAATCACAGGAAGCAAATCCTCTGGGAGGCCGGAGGGGATGGGGCAGAGCGTACAAACGCGGGGACAGTCCTTAGATGGGAGCGCTCGCTCACCCTCGGAAAAGAGAGCGAGCACAGGAACAGGGCAGGCGGGAGGCGGATGCGTCCATTTTCCACAAATGGCAAGCAAGGCAGTGAGCTGACAGGCTGGGAAATCCTTGGGATGGGGCCTGAGTCTCCACCACCCCTGGTCCCAGCAACCCCATGGAGCACCTGCCTTCAGGAAGTAACTCAACCTCTCTGTGCCTCAGTTTCCTCCTTTGCAAAACGAGGATCCAAACAGCACCCACCTCTTAAGGCCACTCACTCTCTCATTCAACAAGTGCTGTCTAAGGGCCTGCCACGTGTCCCACACCTAAGCTCAGGCTTGGGAAACACAGCAAGAAGACAGCTATGGCCCTGCTCAAATTCGTTCTAGCGTTCTGGTGGAGAACTCAGACAAGACACAAGGAAACAAGGGGTGCCTGGCTGGCTCCGTTGGAACAAAGTCATCTCGGGGTTGGGAGTTCAAGCCCCACACTGGGTGTAGAGATTACTTAAAAACTTCAAGAAAAAAAAAGAACAAGGAAACAAGACGATTCCTGAGAACAAATGATACGAAGAACATACAAATGATTAATGCCACAGGCAACGACGCAGGGGGCAGTGGCCCTACGACAGTATGCTCGCAAGAAAGGCCTAGACTTTAAGCTGGGCCCTCAGTGACGAAAAGGAACCACAGGGTGTGAACCTGGGGAAGCGCACGCCAGGCAGTAGGAATAGCAAGCGCAAAGGCCCTGAGGTGACCGTGAGTATGGCAGGTTCAAGGACCACCAAGGAGACCAGAGAAGCTGGAGCAAAGAGCCAGAAAGTGGATAGTCAGAGGTCATGTCAACAGAGCTAAGTGAGGCTAGGTCATACCCCCTATGTCTAAATGATGACTTTGGATTTTCTTCTAACTGCTAAGTATTCTGATCCCCATGTTTAAAAATTCATTCTGGCTGTCATGGCAAAAATGGATAGGAACAGGGTGGACGAAGCCAAAGGGAGAGCAGCTGGGCCACTGAGGTTGCTGGGGGTGGGGGTGGAGGGGGATGGGCAGTAAAAGGTAAAGAGTGATACGCATACAGAGTTTTGCAAGGGCCTAGCACCAATAAATACTACAGAATATGGCAGCTCTGACTCATTCATTCATTCAGTCCCTACAGGGGCTCAGGCAGGTATCTGGAAGCAGCCATACCTGCGATCCAGTCGTAGCCCAAGTATGGTCTGAGGCGCCAGCTCCTGCCAGGCACTGAAGACTCATCACCGAAGGTCACTCTTGGCTGAGGAGGGAGACAAAGAGCGGCAAAGACTAGGCCTGCAGGCCCAGCCCGAAGGAGGTCCCACCTTGGGGGAAGGAAAGGAGCTGTGTCTTAACTTATACCCTGACATGGGCCCCGGGGCTCGGCCACAGACTCGGGAGCTGGAGGATAAGAACTGGCCCCCCAAGTTCCCCTTATGTGTGACTCTGACCAAGCCTCGGAGCCTTGGTCTTCCCATCTGTATAACAGGCTCATCACCTTCTTCCCAAAGTGCTGAGAAACTAACACCACCACTTTTCGAGCACTTAGGGTGAGCTGGACATGACTCGAGGCACCTTCTGGAAGCCTCTCACCCCGTAAGGGAGGCTGCCCATGACCGCATTTGTCAGACAGGCGAACTGACGTTCAAGGAAGTTCTATTCTCCCACGTTACCTTGGACGGCCTGCTTTGTTGATCCAGGATGGACCTCTGGGCCTGGGCCTCCTGAGGCCCCGGCCTGTCCGGCTCTCCTGAAAGCTCTGTGCCATCCGGGTCTGAGATGGCCAGTAAGGGTGCCGAGCAGGGCCTCAGTGAACCCAGGGACGGCCGGCGTCGGTATGCGGCAGGTGGGAGAGACATCACTCCAGAGCTGGCCCCACCAGCCCAGGACATATCACAGGGGCCACCCTGGTGGGCACCCTGAAGGCTGGAGGCTCTCGGGGCCACCGAGGACGTCTCCTGGGACGATGGAGTCTGGGAGTCACAGCTGCTGCTGGAGTCCCGGGTTGACTGGAACAGAGAGGCCAGGTCACCAGGCAGCGGCCCGGTCACACACCCAGCTGGCCTGCACTAGGCACGAAAGCCTGGGTCCTCATTCCTGCTCCGGCCTCTGCACGCCCCACCCAGTCCCTTCCTCGCTGGGCCTCAGTTTCCCCTTCGCCACTAAACTGGGCACGCTGCACTGGAGGTCTGGATTCCGGCCTGGTCAGGCAGCCCCCTCCACACCCCCGGGAGTTCTCAAGGCGGGTGCTTACCCCTGAGGCTGCCTTGGCCACCGACCGCCGCACAGCATCTTGCCCGACCCACAGCTGCCTCAGGAGCACCAGATTGAGCTGCCGGAGCTGCACCGAGTCCTTGGTCTCCACCATCCCAGGCGTTATCGTGAGGCTTCCTCCTGGGCTGCGGAGCCCCCTCGGGGCCAGGAACCAGGCCCAGCTCTTCTACCTGAAGCCAAAACAGCATGACACTGGGCTGCCAGTGGAGCCGGAGGCCTGGGTTCGAATCCCCGCTCTGGAACTCCCTAACTGTGTAGCCCCAACCAAGTGATTTAATCTCTCTGTGCCTCAGTTTCCTCATCCGCCAAACAGAGATGATGACAGTATCTAACACGTAAGGTTACTGTAGAGATTGTTTTTTTTTTTTTAAGTTTACTTATTTTTTGAGAGAGGGAGAGCAGGGGAGGGGCAGAGAGAGCAGGAGAGAGAGAATCCCAGGCAGGCTCCACACCATCAGCGCGGGGCCCGATGTGGGGCTTGAACCCCAAACTGTGAGATTATGACCTGAGCCGAAACCAAGAGTTGGCCACTTAACCGACTGAGCTACCCAGGCGCCCTATTTTTATTTTATTTTTTTAAGCTTATTTATTTTTGAGAGAGACTGTGTGTTACTGCAGGGATTAAATGAGATAATCCATGTTAAACCTCACTATGGTACCTGGTACAGAGTGAGCATCCCACAAACGTTCCCTTATTACTAAACTGGCCAGAGTGTGTTCGCTCACATGCCAAAAGAGAACAATCCCCTTTAACAATAAAATTTGGGTAACATGTAGAAATATGCAGATATTAGGATAACATGTAGAAAACAATTAGGGCAAGTCTACAAATGTAAAGTATTATAACTTGTGACTCCAACACAAAGCAGGCTCCTGAACGGGCTCTTCCTCTATCCTGCCCACCCTTCCATTTTACAAACGAAGAAACCAAAGTTCAGAAAAGTTAACCAACTTGACCCACGTCACACAGCTAGTGACAAGGCCGGGATTTGAACCCAAATCTGGCTACAGGGTCCATGGTCACTCCAGCCTCTCCCTTGTGCAGAGAGGTGCTTGGGAAGCCTTCTCCTCTCCTCATTCTTTTCCGCCCCCCCCCCCCCCACCCCGCCCCAGGGATCCAGGGTCAGGAACACAGAGATGCTTCTGGAAGGGATTTCTGCAGACTAGGGGAAGGCGCTGCCTAATCCTCTCAGGGCTCCAGGCCCAGGCTCCACCCAGAAACTCAATGTCCCGAAAGGTGCACCATCCAGGTTTTAACACTGGGTCGGGCCAGACCCTACTCGCAGAAACCCGGCCCGACCCCCAACCCTCCCTCCCACCCACACTTCTGGATCGCCGTCACCAGGAGCCCCCTTCTCAGGGCCAGGCTGCAGGGGCTGAGGTCGAAAAAAACAGACTACACAGGACACGCCCCCACACACGCGTCCCGAGTATAGACGATTCTTGCTGCGGCCGCGCCTGGGAAGCTAACAGCGGCGCAAATGCAACGGGAAGGCGACGTTCACAAGACAAACAGGGGCAGCAAAACTGCCGGACGCTCCCGGGAAAAGAGGCTCAGCCTCCCCCTTCCTTCCCATCGCGGTCCCCGGATCCTCCACGCGCACGTGGGGCCTCCCGCCGAGTCCTTCCGCCTCACGGCGGCCCCGCAGCTTCCGCGCTCACCTCCTGGAAACCTGGAAACCCGCAAGCCCGACGCCGCTATCGCAGCCCGTAGTCCCGCCCTTCTCGCCCCACGCGTCGCTGCCGCTGGGGGCGGAGCCAGATATGGCCGTCCTGATTGGCCAGATTGCGGGAGGAGTCGGACGCTCCTGCGAACGTTACTCGGCGTTCCGAAGCGGCAGTTTCAACATTGGGGCGGGACTAACAGAGGGACTCAATAGCTGATTGGTCAATTTCCAAGGTCGTGTACTGGACGTCGACTATCGGTCTGGTGCGGGCTCCCGGAGGGCGAGCTCCGATTGGTCAGGATGGGGTGGCCGAACTCGCGGGGTTTGGCTGGGGCAGTTTCGAAGTCTGGACCCGGCGCTGCTCCCGCTAAGTAGAATTCTGCTGAGGGATGCCAGGCGGGGCTGGGGTAGGCGGTGGCTGGAGACCCATTCTTCCATACTTTCTTTCCGGTATTTATCGTGCCTACTTTGTGCTAAGAGGCACTGTACTAGGCATTGGGGGGGCAGAGAAGAATGAAGAGGGGTCCTTGCCTGGAGGAAAGGGAGTAAATTAGCACGAATATAGATACCTATAATGTATGCGGAAGTGCTATGTTCCAGGTATTTTCTATAGGCCAGTGCATGCCAGCCCCATTTTACAGCGAAAACAAAAATGAAGCCATAAAAGATGAAGTGACTTGCTCAGAGCATTTTTAAACTAATCAGCTTGATTCAGCAAATTAACAGAGAGAAAGGAAGAAAGGATAGGAGGGAGGAAGGAAGGGGAAAAAAGGAAAGGAGAAAGGGAGAGAGGGATCATTTTGGGGTGATGGACATGTTCTAAAATTGGATTGTGGTGAAGGCTGCACGACTTTGTAAACTTGCTTAAATGATTGAATTTTGTGGTATGTAAATTACAACTCAATAAAGCTGGGTTTTCTTTTAATTGAATTCGTATCCTCTATGCAATCCAGTCACTCTACCCCTAAGCATTTATCCAAGAAGAAAAAAAATTGTCCATACAAAGATTTGCATAGGAATGTTCCCAGCAGCTTTATCCAAACATCTGTCAACGGGTAAATGGATAAACAAATTGCGGTATATCCATACAATGGATACTTCTCAGCAATAAAAATGAATAAACTATTGATATGCACAATATGGATGCATCTCAAGACAGTTACACTGCATGGAAAACAAAGAGTACATACTGTACTTTCCATCTGTATAAAACTTTAGAAAATGTAAACTGATCTATAGCTCTATAGCGATAGAAAGATAAGTGGTTGCTAGGAGATCGAGTGGAAGGAGGCATGGTAAAGGGGCACGAGGAAACCTTGGCGGTGATGGATACGTTCACTGTCTGGGTTGTGGTGATGGTCTCATGGTGCATGTGGTGCATATATATGTCTAAAGTTATTAAATTGTACACTCTAAATGTGCAGTTCTATATAAATTATCTTATTTTTTAAGATTTTTAAAAATGTTTTATTTATTTTTGAGAGAGAGAGAGACAGAGTGCGAGCGGGGAAAGGTCAGAGAGAGAGGGGGAGACACAGAATCTGAAGCAGCTCCAGGCTCCGAGCTGGCAGCATGGAGCCCGACGCGGGGCTCGAACTCACGAACCATGAGATCATGACCTGAGCTGAAGTCGATGCTTAACGCGCTGAGCCACCCAGGCGCCCCTAAATCATATCTTTTTAAATGTTTATTTATTTCTTTTGAGAGAGAGAGGAGGAGGGAAGGGTCAGAGAAAGAAGAGAGAAAATCAAGCTGCACTGTGCAGAGCCCAACCCAGGGCTTGATCCCACGAACCGTGAGATCATGACTGGAGCCGAAATCAAGAGTCAGACGCTTAGTGAACTGAGCCACCCAGGCGCCCCTATAAAATTACATCTTGGTAGGAGTGCCTGGCTGGCTCGGTTGGTAGAGCATGGAACTTTTGATCTCAGGGTCATGAGTTCAAGCCTCGTGTTGGGCGTAGAGCTTACTTTTAAATAAATAAATAAATACCCGATAAAGCTGTTAAAAGATGTGAAGCAAGTAAAGGAAACAAGAACTTGGCCTCATGGGGCACATTGTGTTTGTAGTAGCTGGAATGGACAGCTGCCACTTTCGTGCCACCACGCCCTCTCAGGAGTGGCCCTGAGGACAAAGACAAAGGCTAATCCTTGCCCCAGTGGACACAGCTGTGTGCTTCACACTTGGTCACCTACACATAAAGAGGGATGTACACCCTGAGGAACAGACACGCACAATGCCCTGGGTGGTGGCAAATGGCTGGCGGCCTGGAGCCTGGAAGGAAAAGTTTGGAAGATGGGGGGGGGGGGGGG